TGCTGGACCTGAGTTTAATTCACTCGTGACAAATTCCTCCATTTCTCACCACTTCAGTCATTGCATCAACGGAGGAGGAAGAGATCACTGCCTCTTGGCTAAAAAACAAAAGAAAAGGCCAGATCAGGGATGAAGAAGGGGAATTTAATACATTGGTGTCACATACAAAACAGTCCGTTGCTTGGCAGTTTATTGTGCGACACCGCGTACGCGTATTCAGTTGTAAAAATTGGAGCTTTGCACGGAGGGTATGCTGGGGGGTACGCACGTACCTCTGCGTACGTACGTGTGTACCTCTGCGTATGGATGTACGCGGCAATAGGGCTGGGCGATATGAGGAAAATCTAATATCCCGATATTATTTTTGCTATATCACGATACACAATATATATCACGATATTTATAAATAATCTCCAGTGTTACTTTAAACTAGTATTTAAATTGCACTGGTGTACTCTATTCAAACAGACCATTGATGTTTTTTTGAAATTGAAAACAAAATCAGAATACGTTTAAAATGTTTTATTGTAACCATCAGTTGCACACAAATCATCTTCTTCAGTAATGAAATTAGTACCACTGTCTCTTACTGTGGTCAACACTATACCTTTAATAAACAAGACCTTAGCAGCAAAAAAAGTACACCAAGCACAAATCCACAATGAAAAATAAACCATCTGTCTGGAAAAAAAGGTGCTTGTTAGTGCTTTTTGCATAAAAATTGTAAAATCAAAAAACCTGATGAGTCCAGATTACAAAAATAAAAGTTTAAATAGTGACTATATAATCAACTCACCCAGAATAGCCACAGGTATCAGAGCTTCTCTAAACAATTTACATATGCTGAAAATTTTGAACAACAAAACACAAAAAGTGCTAAACTGGTAAATGGTGCCAAGTTCAGGCAATATCTGCACAATCTCTGTACAAGAACAGTTTAATCACAGAGCATCTCAAAATAATTTAAATAATAATTACTCTTTGTGTGCTAGATTTTAAACACACACCACACAAAGTGGTAAAAAAGGAAATGATGCGAAGTTGAAATAAAAGAAGCTTATGTCCAAATGGTGACATTAATACCCCTGAATAGGTCTCATCAATGCAAAAGGTTCATTGGTTTTTTGAGATTCTGTGCCAAAAACACAAGCCTGTCAACAGCTTCAGGTTTGAGGGAGGCCCAGTGACATGTCACCACATTCCCACTAGTACTAAATACCCTTTCTGATGGGGAGCTAGTAGCAGGTACACACAGGTACTTTTTTGCCAGATGTTTCACATTTGGGAATATTTCTTCATGGCCTTTCCACCACAGCAGTGGATCAGATTCACTGTCGGCAGTCACAGACTGCAAGTAGGCAGAAAGTTCTGCGTCCATTAATTGTCTAAGTGATGACGGAGTTTTGGAAGAGGATGTTTTGGCCTTTTTAAAGAAACTTCCAAGTGTTTTCTTTTTTGTTGCATCTGGCTCTGATACCACTTCCATTTCACTGGGCTGTGAAGCAGGCAATCCTGGAGCACCTTGATCAGACAGCATGACATCTGCTTCCATCTCCTTCATGGCTCCGTTCTTAATTTCCTCCAACTTCTCTGTGGTAATGTATGTTGTTTTAAATCTGGGATCAACTAATGATGCCATGTCCAGAAGGGTGTCAGTGAAAGGGTAATCAAATTTCTCATGAAGGTAGTCCAGGATGGAGACTTTGATGGACTGGGTCAGTGGAGTGGCATCTTCATGAACTGCCAAGATGCTTGTATGGAAGAGATGTAGCACAGGTTTGACATATGACACTGTGACATAGTCCTCCCCTGAAAGGGCATCAGTGAAATCCACAAGTGGTTTCAGAGCCTTGTGCACTGACTCAAGGACTTCCAGGTCTTTCCAAGTCAAGAAAAGATGTCATGTTTTTTTGTCTGTGGCCAAGACCTGAGAAATAGCTCGCTCCTGTTCCAGCACCCGGTCACTCATTTTGTAACAGGATCCCCATCTAGTTGGCGACTCGCTGATCAGCTGATGTGCAGAGATCTTAAGTTCTTTTTGTGCAGTAGCCAGATCTCTCCTCTTCTTCCAACTGAATGAAAAACTGCTTACAATCTTTTTACAAACAGCAACAGCACGCTCAATGCGGGGGTCCTTCATGCTTATCTCTGAAAATAAAGGGGGGAAAAAAAACCAACAATAATTACTATATAATGCTGTAAATAAATAATATCACAAAAAAACATAGTTGTTTATATGTATGCAATATCAGATTTTACATCAATTCACATTTTATGCTCAGTAAATTAATTAAGCAGATGCATAACACAATTACAGGAGGAAAAACATGCTGCCCGATGTCTTAGAGGTATGAAAACTAAAGAAATGCTTTTCATTTTTTAGTGTAAACAAAAATAAATAAGTAAATTCAATTTAATTTATTAAATCAAATTTAATTCAATCAAATTTAAATTTAAACGAAAATTTAATTTAGTAAATCAAATATCAATTTGATATCTTCAGATATTCAAATCTTCAGATCAATTTAATCTGAAGTTCATTTAATGGGGAAATCAAATGAAACCCTACGAACATCTACTGATGCTCAGAGTATATTCTATATAAAAGAAGGTACAGCTGTACAACATACCAATTGCAAGGTGCAGCCGATGGCCAAAACACTGTAGCCTGGTGCAGCCGATGGCCAAAACACTGTAGCCTGGTCCACCCATTCATCCTCATTGCTTTGATTATGTTACTCCCATTGTCTGTCGTGATGCACACCTGATGACTTTCTGATAAATTCCATGATGTGAGTGCATCTTGCAGTCCTTGGGCAATTAGCTCTGCTGTGTGGTCTTCAGGGAAAAAACTTGTTCGGAGGCAGAAGCTTTTTAACTCCCACTGGTCGATGTAGTGTAGAGTTAGGCTAAGATACGGCTCACAAGTGCGGCTGGTCCACAGGTCTGTGGTTGTTGAGAAGAAGTTCACGTTTGTTAGCTGCTGGCCTATGTTTTCTCTTACTGAAACGTACAACTCTGGCAGCGCTTTTTCTGCAAAGAACTTGCGACCTGGCAAGTCGTATTTTGCATCAAGAGTCTTAGTAAGATTTTTGAATCCAGGCTTTTCCACAACACTGACAGGAGCCATGTCTTTGGCGATATATTTTGTTACTGCGTCAGTGAGTTCTCTCCACTTTGTACATTTTCTGTCGTACGGGATGGCTTTGGCAAACGAAGAAGCTTGTGTCATCTGCTTCACAGCTGTATTATTTAACGTTTTCTTTATTGTGTGGGAGACGTGGACATACGGAGTTTACAACATTCTTCATTTTGCAGTGGATGACTTCTTAGGTGGTGAAATAAGTTTGTGGTGCTGCTTCCTTTCGTGGCAATGGTTTTACGACACGTTTTGCAAATTACCGCATTTTGTTCAACATCCTCCTTGTAAAATCCAAACCACTGCCAGATTATTTATCCAGTGCTGTTTCTCTTCGGATCTAGTTCATCGGACTCTTCAGTTATCGTCTCATTCACCCGCTCACCTGAATCTCCCGCTGTTGCCATATTTTTTCCTTTATCCAAGTCTATATGTGCATGCTCCGCACAGCGTGTCATGCGGAACATTTTCAGGTTGGGAGGGGGCAGGGAGTAGTGATGCATTTGTTGCGTGTCGGATAAATGAAACTCACAGTTAATTAGATGCAGAAAGCTTATTATTTGAATGGCAATTTATACTCGATGGTTGCGATAGAGCCATTTTAACCATCGTAAATTGAAAAACTCGAGATACATCGAGTATATTCGATACATCGCCCAGCCCTATGCAGCAGTATACTGGGGGCTTTACTGGGAAACCTACCATACCATACCATACCAATTTATTTATATAGCACTTAAAACAGCAACAAGGCCAACCAAAGTGCTGTACAAAAGAACACAAACATGCACAGCAGACAGGAAAACATAAAATAGAAATACAGATACAAATAGCAGCAGAAGCTAACTAAAATGGCCAACAGAGTAGAGAACAGACCGGGCCAAAACAAATCACACCGTGTTAAAGGCAAGCGAATAGAAGTGGGTCTTCAAGCGAGACTTAAAGACTGAGAGTGTGGGAGCCTGCCGGACACTCAGTGGCAACTCATTCCACAGTCGTGGACCTGCAACAGAGAAAGCCCTGTCACCCCTGAGCTTACGACAGGTTTCTGGGACTGAGAGAAGCATCTGGTCTGCTGACCTCAGAGAGCACGGTGGGACATATGGCTGCAGAAGATCAGTGAGATAGGATGGGGTGGAACTGTTCAGTGATTTAAAAACATACATGAGAATTTTGAAATGGATCCTATTACTGGGAAACCTAGAGCAGTTCAGTACACGCGTTGACAAAAAGCAGGTTTAATACCACTTCCCTCTGAAACGGCTAGCTTTAGAACACCAAATGAGGTGGGAGGATGTAGATTTTTGAGAATAAGATCAACTGTGACAAAGGTGAATAGGTCATGTACTGAACCTGTATGTCTAGTGTTAAATAAATAAATGAAATAAATCAACATTCATACCCACATGTAATTAACATGCATGTAAGCAGTATTGTCTTTCTGATCACAGGGCAATAATTAATTTATTGAAACAAGATACAGGCAAATTGTACGTATGTGTACTAGTATTTACTAGTTTTTAACTTAAGTGATAAGTGTCAGTACTAGCTCATGAGTCCGTTCCTCATGAGTGATCATAAACTGAACTGTTATTATTAAGAAAAATGCTGCAAGTTTTAATTATTTGAAGAAGAAAAAAGAAACACTGCAGCTCTCAGTGATCTGAGGTGTTACTTTATTGTGTTGCTTACAAAGATGTACTGGTAATATTGTAATTTCATCAGTAAACATGGCAATGAAAAAGTTGATCATTTAGGTATAACTGTACTCCTGTTATGACGCATTTTGATACATCGTTGAAATCATTTAATTGAATCTATGAGTGAACAATATTGTTTATTGTCATTTTCAAATCGGTAGAAAGTACGAGCGAGCACTGGAGTACCATCGTCAAGCCCTGGTGTTGATCCCACAGCATGCCTCAACTTACTCTGCCATAGGCTATGTGCACAGCCTCATGGGAGACTTTGAAAGTGCTATTGACTACTTTCATACAGTAAGTTTATAGAGTATTATTTCTTAGCATACTTCAATGCCAGTAACTTGTCACTTGAAATTTTGGCTGAACTGCTTATGAAGAGTTTATTTTTTGAGAGAGTTCTAGCAGGAAAAGCTGTGGCCAAATACAATCACTGCACTTCTCTGTGATTAACAAAACTAACTTCCAAAAATAATAAAAACATTTCTATAAAAATAAAATATCGCAAAACGAGATGCAGTTTGCAACAACTTCAAATGTTGGTTAAGGTTTTTAATAATTCAGACCTTTCAGTCCCTTTTTCTTAATTTTTTTCCCATCTTTTCACTGAAATGTGTAAAGTTGTTGTCTTTTCTTGTTTCAGGCTCTTGGACTGAAGAGGGATGACACTTTCTCTGTGACTATGCTTGGCCATTGTATCGAGATGTACTTCGGTGACACAGATGCCTATATAGGTTGGTTTTGTGCTGGAATTGTTGCTGGGAAAAATATATAATTTTTAATAATTTGATCTTGTTTGTACAAGGATGTCTTAAAAGATACAATACTTTTCCTTATTTCAGTTGTAATGTTATTTATGGGAGATTTTGTTTTTCTGTAGAAGTGATAACGGCCAAGCATGAGCAACTAATTTCTCCTAATCCACTTTCTCAATGCAGGAACTAGAATCTAAATTACCGTATTTTCCGCTGTATAAGTCGCATCAGTCCAAATATGTCTAATAAAGTGGGGAAAAGCGATAAATACGTCGCTTTGCTGTATAATTTGCATTTATTATAAATCACCATTGACGACCTGGAAATGTGGGCTGGTGTGCCAAAAATCGATTGGCTGCCAAATGGCGGTCACAGGAGTGTGCATGGGAGGACTTGAACAAGAATTTAACAAGATTAACACTTAAAAACATATTTGTTTGCTTGAAATTATAACAAAGGTGTGTTTCAGTTGAACTTTTCCTTTAATAAATGCACTTTGACAGTAAAATCGGCTGCATTTCAAAAGTATTCGCTGCCTCGGTGCTCCGGGAGTGTGCATGGGGAGGAAATCAGGAAGGAGGAACGCTGCACATTTCTTAGAACTTTAACAAGATAACAACAAAGTCTATGCTCAATAATCCAGGTATAAAAATCCAACATTTTTCAGTCAGGTCATCTGGACAGTTTCTTTTTTTGTGCTGAAACGTTTCGCCTTCGATCCAGAAGGCTTCATCAGTCAAGGAAACACACAGCAAAACTGATTCTTCCCCCTTCCAGATCAAAGGCGAAACGTTTCAGCACAAAAAAAGAAACTGTCCAGATGACCTGACTGAAAAATGTTGGATTTTATACCTGGATTATTGAGCATGGACTTTGTTGTTTTCAACCAATTTGACAAGACTGTCAACAAGGAAGAGGGCCGGCAATGGAGGAGGGGCGTACCAAAGAGACCATCTTATCACAAGCAGAACTGGTTTGTTCCACTTTGGAGTAAGCTGTTGGGGGAAGAATCAGTTTTGCTGTGTGTTTCCTTAACTAATGAAGCCTTCCAGATCGAAGGCGAAACGTTTCAGCACAAAAAAAGAAACTGTCCAGATGACCTGACTGAAAAATGTTGGATTTAAACAAGACAAGCACTTAAAAAAATTATTTGTACGCTCGACTTTATAGTAAAGGTGTGTTTCAGTTGAACTTTTATTTAATAAATGCACTTTAATGGTCAAATTAGCTGCATTTAACCGGGGCGGCACAACGAAATGAAGCTGATTTGTCAGTTGCTCCAAGTGAGATGGACGTATGTGGCAGTCTGTGGCAAGCTGATTGTGTCATTAATAGCCACTTTTACCTATTACATGACACAATGGCATGCCATACTACTTGAGTGCCATCTAGTGGCTGAAAATGGTAGTGTTCAATATTTTCAGAAGAATTAACTTTATTGGCATTGCACCGAGATACAACGCAAACATGTACATACAGTCATCCGAAAGATGGGCGGAGTGCACAAAGCTGCAACGATAAAAAGCGCGTCCCTCTTATTCTTATTCAGAATAATATTTTGCTTGGATGAGAAAAGGGAAGAAAACGAGGAGAGACGGTATAAAAAAAATAGATCTCTCGCGCCGTGTCCTAGACAGGGCATGATTTGAGGCATCAAAAAAACCTACCACAGCAAAGCAACACAAATAGACGTTATACATGGACATATAGGCCGGTGAAGACATTGAATTTTTAAGGGAAAGTTGTAGCATAGTCCAGAGCCCCCCTTCCTTTCCCTCCCCCCCCCCCCCCCTCAGCCATTGTCCAGATAAGAGGTGACATTCATCATCAGCTCAGTTGAGGTTCTGTCACATGTCCACGGCCTCGGAGAAGGGAGGGGTGAGGAAACAGACAAAGCATCGTTGTTGTTTTCAAAACATTCCATGAGGAGTTGAGATAAGTCCGGCAGTCAGTCAGAATGAATGAATGTTATATCTCAGCCAAAAATTGGTTTATAAATCTGGGAAAAAAATCCAAAAATATGTTGCTTTGGTGTATAAGTCGCAGGGCATGTAAATTATGCACACAAAAAACCTGTGACTTATAGGTTGAAAAATACAGTATGTTCCTTGAAAATTCTAAACTTTTGGGGTGCAAAACGTTCTGTAGGTTAACTGTAGGTCCTAATCCATAATTCATAATTCAGTTTTATTTATATAGCGCCAAATCACAACAAAGTTGTCTCAGGGCACTTTACAGGAACATTCACATACATAAAAGCCAATTAGTAAATTTCTCTAAGGAATCCAGCAGACAAGTTGAATCTTGGCTTCGTTGCAGTCTCCCATCCTGAGCAAGCACAGTGGCAACAGTGGAAAGGAAAAACTCCCTTTTAAAGGAAGAAACCTCCAGCAGAACCAGGCTCAGGACAAGCGGCCATCTGCTTTGACCGGCTGGTTGAGAGGACAGGAAGGAGAGACAGACAAACATAGAATGGTAGGTCCAGGTATAGGTCCAGGTGTATCTGAAAGACAAAAAAACACGTTAAGGATAGAAAAAATAATTACAAATACAAAACAGGTTGAGCAGAGTAAGTAAAGACAGAAGTAGAGTGAAAATTGTGGTCAGTTTGTCCTCCAGCAGTCTAAGCCTATAGCAGCATAACTAAGGGATAGCTCAGGAAACCCAAGCCGACCCTAACTATAGGATTTATCAAAAAGGAAAGTCTTAAGCCTAGTTTTAAAACTGGACAATGTGTCAGCCTCATGGACAGAGATTGGAAGTTAGTTCCACAAGAGAGGAGCCTGATGAAAGATCTGCCTCCCATTCTGTTTTTGTAAATTCTAGGAACCACAAGTAAACCTGCAGTCTTGAGAGCGAAGTGCTCTGTAAGAAAAATATGGAACAATAAGATCTGTAATATAAGATGGAGCCAGGTTGTTGAGAGCTTTGTAGGTTAGAAGTAAAATTTTGAATTCTATTCTGGACTTGACTGGGAGCCAATGGAGAGAAACTAAAACTGGAAAAATGTGATCTCTCCTACTTACTCCGGTTAAGACTCTGGCAGCAGCATTTTGGATCATCTGAAGACGTTTTAAAGAAGTATTTGGACACCCAGATAATAAACCATTGCAATAGTCCATTCTAGACGTGTCAAATGCATGGACCAGTTTTTCTGCATCATTTTTAGATGTTTCTAATTTTAGTGATATTACGCAGGTGGAAGAAGGCAGTTCTAGTAACGTTTTTAATGTGGGGGATAAAAGACATGTCCTGATCAAAAATAACACCCAAGAATTTTAACATTAGAGCAGGAGGACAGATTAATGCCATCTAAGGAGGGAGAAAGACTGAAAAATTCATTCCCAAGGTGCTCAGGTCCAAAAACCAAAACCTCAGTTTTGTCTGTGTTCAACGGGAGAAAATTAAGGGTCATCCAGGTTTTTATGTCTTTAAGGGTGCATTCACACCAGCCCTGTTTAGTCCGCTTTAATCGAACTCTAGCTCGTTTTCCTAGAAAGTCCGGTTTGTTTAGGGAGGTGTGAACGCGCCATCGAACTCTGTCATGGAACAAAAAGGCTAATTCTGGCCCGGGCTAAAACCTAGGTCTCGGTCCGGTAGAAGCAAACTCCAGCGCGGTTCGAGTACGGTGTGAATGCAAACAGACCGGGCCCCGCTCCGCAGGACAAACAAACACGCATTTCTCTTACCTTACATGGAGCCGTCAGATGCCTTGTGTGGAAAAACAATATTCTCCATGGTCTTCTGTCTCATCTTCTGCTCATGCTAAGTCCATTTTTGAAAAATGACAAAATATAACTCCTAAAACTTGATGCCACTTCGTTTTTGTTTTTATTTACAAAAGAAGAAGATGAAGTGTCTTCAGAGGTTTTTGTGTCCTTTCTTTCAGTAGTTCTTGGTGCAGCGCCCCCACAGGTGAGCGAGGGAACAGGTTGGTTCAACGGGTTGACTTGACTGCACAGTGCAGTGTGAATGCAAACGCACCAGCTCAAATGTAAACAAAATATCATGAATATTGGTCCCGAACCGAACCGAGTCTACCGGACTATCAGGTGTGAAAACGACCTAAGACATGCTTGTAGTCTAAGTATCGGATTGGATTCATTGGGTTTAATGGACAAATACAACTGTGTGTCATCAGCATAACAATGGAAATTTATCCCATGCTGTTTAATAACTTTACCTAATGGAAGCTTAAAGTAAAGAGTATTGGCCCAAGCACTGAGCCCTGAGGAACTCCATGACTAACTTTTGTGTATGATGAAGATTTATTATTTACATTTACAAACTTGAATCTATCAGATAGATATGATTTAAACCATTTTAGAGCCGTTCCTGTAATCCCAATATCATATTCAAGCCTCTGTAGTAAAATATTGTGATCAACTGTATCAAATGCAGCACTGAGGTCTAACAGGACCAGTATAGACACAAGTCCATTGTCTGAGGCCATGAGAATATCATTAGTTACTTTTACTAGTGCTGTTTCTGTGCTATGATAAGCTCTAAACCCTCACTGAAACTCTTCAGATAGATTATTTCTTTGCAGATGTTCACGCAACTGACCTGCAACTATTTTCTCTAGAATTTTTGAGATGAAAGTTAGATTAGATATAGGTCTACAGTTGGCCAGAATTTTCGAATCAAGATCAGACTTCTTTAGTAAAGGTTTAATTACAGCAACCTTAAAGTGCTGTGATACATAACCATCCATTAAAGACAAATTAAGTAGATCCAAAATGTGGATGTTAATTAGGGGAAATACCTCTTTAAACAGTCTGGTTGGGATGGGATCTAGCAGGCATGTGGATGGTTTGGATGAGGTTATTATTTTTGACAATTCTGAGAGCTCAACAGGACAAAAACTGTCCAAACATAAATCAGGCTCTAGTGAAATTATTAAAGTTGCCTCATTTGACAGGGGACTAGAGATAGTAGAAGGAAGGATGGTTTGAATTTTCTCTCTAATTGAAATAATTTATAAAGAATCTCATGAAGTCATCACTACTTATAGTTAGTTGTAGGGATACATGGTTCAACAGAAATGGGACTTTTAATTATTCTAGCAATAGTACTAAACAGAAACCTAGGGTTATTTTTATTCTCCTCTATTAAAGATGAGTAATATAAAGTTCTAGCTTTACGGAGAGCTTTTTTATATGTTAGCAGACTATCTTTCCAAGTTAAATAAAATTCTTCAACATTAGTAGAGCGCCATTGATCCATTGTTAGGCTGATGGTCCTTCTTGAGCATGTGATCAGCTGGTTTTGGTTGTCAGAAGCAAACTGGTTGATCCACTCTGTGAAGGTGCTATTTAAGAGACTGAGCTGAAAACAGCACCTCAGACTGAGGAAGTCTCTTGGATGAGAGACGAAACGTTTCTAGATTTTTTTGCTTTGTTTTGTTTTTTGTTTTTTTGAATGTCCAGAGGACCAGATTGAACTTTTTTGGATTAGTAGAGCGCCATTTTCTCTCCTGGTTTCTAGATGCCTGCTTTAAAGTACGTAACTCAGAATTGAACCAAGGAGCCAGTTTCCTCTGATTGATTACTTTCTTTTTCAGTGGAGCAATTTTATCCAGTGAAGTTTGCATTGTAGTTGTAAGATGATCAACTAGATGATCTAAGTCACTGTTCTCTGGTGAATTACTCTGCAAGACAGAGGAAAACATTGATGGAAGAGATCGTTTAAATTTGGTTACAGCATTTTCTGATAAGCACCTGCTGAGATGAAATTTACTCTGTGACTGTGTAGTCATTTAATGTAAACTCAAAGGTTATTAAAAAATGGTTGGACAGAATAGGATTTTGAGGAACTATTACCAAGTCTTTAATCTCTATACCATAGGTCAGAACTAAATCAAGTGTGATGATAAGAATGAGTAGATGTGCGGACGTTTTGGGTAAAACCAAATGAGTCTATTAAATTATTAAAGGCTATGCTTAAACTATCACACTCAACATCCACATGAATATTGAAATCACCCATTATGATGATTTTATCAGTATTTAATAAGTCAGTTAATAATTCTGATAATTCAGACAAAAACTGAGAGTAAGCGCCTGGTGGACGATATAGAACAACTAGTAAAAGTGGCTTTTCTGATTTCCATTTTGGATGAGAAAGACTGAAGGTAACAGGATGTAGCTTACTTTGCTATTTGAAGCGGTACCCTGGTGTTTGTTTTTTTTGCAGTTTTTTGATACACCCACCATTTTTTATCATTTGAAATTCTGAGGAGTTATGTTCTATGCAGTACGTTAGATGGTGTGATAGTCATCCGCAATGCAGATTCCATACCAGAAGGTGATGCAGCTGGTCAAATGCCTTTAACCGTGCCTTGGTTAAAACAAAACAAAAAAAATGGTAAGAACTATGGGGGAAGCTAAACGAACTGGTGCCGTGTGTATTGGTTTACTACCATGCCTAATGACCCAGGTTTTAGCTCATTGTTTTGCCATAAATCAGAGCGTTATGAGGGTCTTGTCCCTGCTCTAACACGTGTATTAATGCTACAAATAAAATGTTGGGGGTCATCAGCGTTCTCACTTGGCAAACCATGTCAGAATACCTGCAGAACTAAACACCTGCAGCAAGAATGCCATCAAAACACTGTTTATAAAACTGAATTCATACTGCGTGGGCTGCATATTCAATAAAATGTGTTTTTCTACATTTTCTCCAAGGCACAGAAATCAATGACAAGGTGCGAAGCAGCTTGAACACTCCGGCACTGATGAAGATGTTGAACACCTCAGAGTCCAGTGAACTCCCAGCAGAGCCGAGGTTGGAAGAGACCAGCATGGCACCGTTGGAAACTCCAGTATCCAATCAGGACAAGATGATGCTAGAGACACCTCTCCGGCTCTCATTAACCCTGGAGTGTAGTGACATGTATGAAAGCGAAATGATGTTGGACACCTTATCAGACACCAGCACGTGATCTCATCCCGTCAGGAGGTGGAACTGTTGAAGCAGCAGGCTGTCAGAAATACACATATCCAAGCCCAAGGACAACATTCAAACCACAAATTTTAACCGTTGCCCTCCACCATGTGGATTCCCTCAGTGCACTATATAATTGTCTTAAAGCAGCAACATATAACACAGTTGTGAAAGTTTTGAACAAAGGTTTGTGAATTTATACTCAGTACCTTATGTATACCATAATAACTTTGCAGAATGCACTTTAAAAGGGAAATAATGAACACATGCCGTGTTTAAGAAGCTGTACACGTGCACTGGGAGCATGTGGACCTTTGACGCCTGATTGACCAGAACAAACAGCCTTGCACCTCGAATCACAAGCTAAAGATGACATCACTTGTTGGTGTCCAGGCAGGAACTTCCTGCTGCTTAACCTGTGGATTTTCACTCTGGATAAAGAGCAGGTAATTCTAATAAGTTTTGATGAATAAACTTTTGGTAATTCCTACAATAAACCAAGCATTTATAATAAAAATATAATCTGTTGTTCGTATTTGTAACTGTTTGAATGACTCATGTCTTTTTGTGATTAGAGGAAATACTATATATATATATATATATATATACATATACATATATATATATATATATATACATATATATATATACAAACCGGATTCCAAAAAAGTTGGGACACTAAACAAATTGTGAATAAAAACTGATTGCAATGATGTGGAGGTGCCAACATATAATATTTTATTCAGAATAGAACACAAATCACAGATCAAAAGTTTAAACTGAGAGAATGTATCATTTTAAGGGAAAAATATGTTGTTTCTAAATTTCATGGCGTTAACAAATCCCAAAAAAGTTGGGACAAGTCCATTTTTACCACTGTGTGGCATCCCCCCTTCTTCTTACAACACTCAACAGACGTCTGGGGACAGAGGAGACCAGTTTCTCAAGTTTAGAAATAGGAATGCTCTCCCATTCATGTCTAACAGGCGTCTAACTGTTCAATCGTCTTGGGCCTTCTTTGTCGCACCTTCCTCTTTATGATGCTCCAAATGTTCTCTATAGGTGAAAGATCTGGACTGCAGGCTGGCCATTTCAGTACCCGGATCCTTCTATGTAGCCATGATGTTGTGATTGCTGCAGAATGTGGTCTGGCATTATCGTGTTGAAAAATGCAGGGTCTTCCCTGAAAGAGATGACGTCTAGATGGGAGCATATGTTGTTCTA